CTGATTAATCATTGGGATTATGGCCAGATGCTCAATGTACAGATGCAAGATGTGACTAACAGAACACAGATCACTATCAGTGGTGTTTATGGTAAACACACCAGAGAAGAAAGGAAAATGTTATGGCAAAACATCATTGATTGGAGCAAAAATGAAATAAACCCCTGGATTATTGGAGGAGATTTTAACTCAATTTCTTCTATTGATCAACACAAGGGCAAAAGCTCACCTTGTCTCCAAAGCATCAATGATTTTGATCATTGCATTATGGAAGGTGGGCTGATTGAACCTCCTTACACAGGAAACCCCTTTACCTGGACTGGAGTGAGATCACTAGGGAGAATCTGGAGAAGACTTGATAGAACATTTGTCAATGACACAATGTTTAACCTTTTTAATGACATCAATACACTCCACCTTCCTAGAGGAGCCTCTGACCACTGTCCTCTTTTTCTCAAAGTTCAGAATCCTAGCTACACTGGCCCAAGGCCCTTCAGGTTTCTAAACTGCTGGACTACCCACCACTCCTTCAAGCAAACAGTGGAGGACTACTAGACCCCCTACAGAGGTGGAGGAATGAGGGGACTTATGGAAAAACTACAAGGTCTCTCCAAGCACATTCAGAACTGGAACAAAACCAGCTTTGGAAATATCTTCAACAAAGCCAGAGACCTGGAAATGAGACTTCAAGAAGCTGAGGACACTTTTGATAAAGAACCTACTGCTGCCAACAGAAGCAACCTTCATCAAATCAGAGCACTCCACACTCAAGCTATAAACAATGAATTTCTGTACTGGAAACAGAAAGCTAGTCTTAAATGGCTGAAAGAAGGGGATTGCAACACCTCTTTCTTTCACAACACTGTTAAAGAGAAAAGGTCCTTTCAAAAGATTCAGAGAATTAAAAACACTGATGGAAAATGGGTGGAAGATACTCAACAGCTACTTGCTGAAGCCCACAATTTCTATTCTAAGCTCTACTGCTGGAAAGAAAGTGAGAACACAGGGGATTTTACCAAAAACATTCCCAACCTCATTACCTCAGATGATAATCTCTTCCTCACTGAATTACCAAATGAAAATGAGGTCAAAGAAAGTATTTGGAGCCTTGATCCAAATAGTGCTGCAGGCCCTGATGGCTATACTGGGGAATTTTTCAAAACTTGTTGGAATACAATCAAAGAAGATGTCACTAAGGCAGTCCAAGAATTCTTCTTAGGGATTACAATTCCAAAAACTATGGCATCAACCACCATCATTCTTATTCCCAAGAAAGAAAACTCCTCCTCTTTTGAAGATTACAGGCCTATATGTCTCTCCAATTTCATTAGCAAGATCACATCTAAATTAATGGCCAGGAGACTTGGAACAATCCTACCTAAAATCATCTCTAAAGAGCAAGGGGGTTTTGTTAAAGGAAGAGCTATTCATGACCAAATCTTACTTGCCCAGGAACTCATTCATGGCATAGACTACAAAACAAGGGGAGGAAACTTAGCCATTAAACTTGACATGTCAAAAGCATTTGACAGAGTGTCCTGGGATTACCTTGAAGATGTCCTTATTAAGTTTGGTTTTCATAGCCATTTCA